CGGACCCGAAACGTTAACTCTGTTTTCTCCTCCACAGATGCTGCCAGACCTGCTGAGCTTTTCCAGCAACTTTGTTTTTGTTGTTGTTGTTGTTGTTTGGAGTATTGTGTGCAGTTCTAGTCGCCACATTATAGGAAGGATGTGGAGCTTTGGAGTCAGTGCCACAGAGGTTTTCCAGGATGTTGCCTGGTTTGGAGTGTATTAGGTATAAAGAGAGGTTGGAAAACTTGGATTGTTTTTACTAGAGTGGCACAGGCTGAGAAGTGCCCTGATAGAAATATATAAAATTATGAGGCGTGGATAGTCAGAGTTTTTTACCCAGGGTGGAAATGTTAAACACTAGGGGGTACAGGATTAAGTTGAAAAGGGTAAAGTTAAAAGGAGATGTGCAAGGAAAGTTTTTCACACAGAGAGTGGTAGGTGCCTGGAATCCTGCCAGGAAAGGTGGTAGAAACAGATACAATAGCAACGTTTAAGAGGCATTTAGACAGATGCATGACTGGCTGAGAATAGAGGGATATGGATCATGTGCAGGCAGATATGATTGGTTTAGAATGGCATCATGATCGGCACAGACATGGTGGGCCAAAGACCTGTTCCTGTGCTGTACTGTTCTATATTGAAGCAGAGCTGCACCAATGCCTAAAACTGTCACTTGCATCAACAGTCAGTTTGAATGACTCCCTGCAATTCAGAGTTGATGAAATCAGTGAGATCATCAGCATAGTTTCCCAGTTGTAAAAGGCACTGTGACATTCCCAAGTCTCTTCAACTTTTTTGCCTTTCTGTAATAAATTTGTCAAAGGAGCCAGGATAATGATCAAGCTTAATATAAACTTCTGATGAAATCCACTCCTGCCAACATATCCAATAATTTCACTTTTTGTCCTGGACAATCTGAAATTGAAGTGACCAGATTTTGTTTTGCACATCAAATCAGTACATTTTCTTTCCATTCACAGAAGCTCAATCATTACAGAAATATGTTAGGTTAATTGTCTATATTGGGTGTTAGTTGACCTTGTCCTACAGTGTAGCCCAAATAAGTCACTTTTGCTTTGGCAAGTTCACACATAACCAGATGTTTCACTAACACAAAAAAAGAAATTGCTGCAGAAACTCAGCAGGTCAGGTAGCACCTGTGGAGAGAAAGCAGGGTCAACATTTCAAGTCCAGTGACACTTGTTTAGAATGGGTCTATTTTGTTAGACCTGCTGAGACAGTCCAGCAGTTTCCGTTTTTGTCTCAGATTTCCAACATCCGCAGTTCTTTCTTTTAGTCCAGTTTTATAACCAAATTACCTCTTTGTACTCCAGTCAAGTGTTGTGAATGTTTCCCCAAGTTTGACTGAATGAAACCAAGTTGTTGATATAAACCACGCAGTTATTAGTCATTCAACGGCTTTATTTGTTAATTTGCGGAATCCAGGTTTGGTTTTGCAATTCTGGTCACCATACTGTAAGAAAGATGTGATTTCACTGGAGGGGCTACGGAGGAGATTCACCAGGATGTTGCCCAGGATGGAGCAGTTCAGCTTTGAAGAAAAGCTGGATAAGCTCGGGTTGTTTTCTTAGAAGCACAGAATGCTGAGGGGGGAGGGAAGGTGATTAATTAATGCCAACATGTTCCATAAGTTTAACACATGGGACTTCTATTCCAACTTGCTTTATGTTTCCCCAAACTTCACTTTCCTCGTTCACCACAATCAAACAGTTATATTGAAATCAGCCTTTTATTTTTACTTTGTAAAATAATACATAGTCATGGACGTGGACAAATTTCTTTTTAGGAGTACACAATTGTTCAGTGGCTCAGAATTTAAACATCAAATTGTTCCAGTGCTTAATACTCTTACTTTAAAAGACAACCAGCAAAAAGAAAGCACTACTCACTGAACTCTTCACAGACTGAAATGGAGGAGATTGCTAATAGCTGAAGTGATAATGCAAATCAAAATTAGGTAAAATATGAATTAGAAACATAGAATATAAGAGAAAGGATAGGCCATTTCGCCCTTTGAGCCTGTTCTGCCATTCAATATGATCACGGCTGATTATTTAACTCAGTCCCCTGTTCCCACTTTCACCCCATACTCTTTGATTCCTCTAGCCCTAAGAAATATATCTATGTCCTTCTTGAAAACAATTAAGAATTAAACATGCATTAAAGTAAGAACATACATGTGTCTATCAGATTCAATTATTACCCAACAGGAAAACAGAATTGTTCTTGGGATTCTAGGTCTTGCCTGGTTATGTTATAAAGCATTGAAATAGCTGATTGAGATTTTTGAGCTCATGTAAACAATTTAATATGTTGCTTGAAGTGACCAGACCTTGTTTTGCACATCAAATCAGTAGATTTGCTTTCCATTCCAGAAGTTCATTATTACAGAAATATTTTGGGTAAATGGTCTATTTTGGAAACTAGCTTACACTCTGCTGCATTAACAAGCAAAACTAATCTGTTCATGTGAATACTAACACAATCAAACTTGTCCTTTTCCTCAAAACGGGCAGAGAGCATTCCACATTTCTTCAGTTTGCATTGCTGCTAATGGATTCGTACTGTAGTTTAGATTATTTCCTGATGACACACTGATGCCACGGAGTTTTAGTTTCTTCAAGATAGATGATTTTAGTGAAATGCTCTCTGGGTCATCATACCAAACCTCATGGTACTTATCATCTTCCTGCCATAAAAGCCAAAGAGAGTTACCCAGATGGGAGGTGCTTTTAGGTCAATATATAGCTCTAGAGACAATGCTGAACATCTTAAACAGTACCATCTAACATACATTACCTGCATTAAAAGACAGGTTTAGGTGGAATTTGAGTTCATATCCTCTGGATTATTGATTCAAGAACATAACTGTAGGATGGAGATTTCCCTTGTAAAGTCACAAAGTTTCATCGAGTTGATTGTTTTGCAGTTTAACCAATCAAACTTTGAAAGTGAACAGGAAAGTATGAAATAGGAGCTGGAGAAGATCACTTGGCCCTGTGAACTTACTTTGCTATTTAAGTAGACTGTGCTTGACCTTTAACCTCAGATCCACCTTCCGACACTATCCCCATTTCCATCAATTACCTTGACTCCCAATAATCTATTGGACTCTGTCTTAAATGTATTCAACAATTGAAAACGTTTAGCTCTTGAAGAAGAGAATTCAAATGATTCACAGCCTTTTGATTGGAGAAATTTCTCCTCAACTCATTCCTACAAAGCCCAGACTTTATTCAATATTGTGTCCTGTGTTATAGAGTCATAGAGTCATACAGCATGGAAACAGACCCTTCAGTCCAACCAGTCCATGCCGAACATAATCCCAAACTAAACTAATCCTACCTGCCTGCCCCGGCCCATAAACCTCCAAACATTTCCTATTCAAATATCCATCCAAATGTCTTTTAAATGTTGTAATTGCATCTGCATCCACTACTTCATCAGGAAGTTCATTCCACACATGAACCACCCTCTGTGCAAAACATTTGCCTCTTATGTCTTTTTTAAATCTCTCTCCTCTCACCTTAAAAATGTGTCCCCTTAGTCTTGAAATTCCCTATCTTAAGGCAATGACAACTACCATCAATTCTATCTATATCTCTCATTATTTTATAAACTTCTATTAGGTCACCTCTCAACCTCCTACACCCCAGTGAAAAAAGTCCTAGCCTATCCAGCCTTTCCTTATAATTCAAATCTTCCATACCAGGCAACATCCTGGTAAATTTCCTCTGAACCCTCTCCAGCTTGATAATATCCTTCCAATAACAGGGTGACCAGAACTGGACACAGTATTCCAGAAGAGGCCTCACCAATGACCTGTACAACCTTAACATAAAGTCCCAACTCCTATACTCAAAGGACTGAGCAATGAAGGCAAGTATGCCAAAAGCCTTGTTAACCATTCTGTCAGTATGTGATGTAAACTTTAAAGAATTATGAACCAGCATCCTTCGGTCTCTCTGTTCTACAACACTACCCAAGGCCCTACCATTAATTTTAATAAGCCCTACCCTTGTTTGTTGTTCTACATTCCTTTGCCAATGGCAGTGTTTTCTCAGAATCTTACCTGTCTAGCTGCCAAGAATTTAAAGGTTTAAATTGAATCATTTCTCATTCGTCAAAATTCCCTGTCAAGTAACTACAGCAGGCATAAGGGAAGCAGATGAAAACTGTGCAGAGAAATTTAAGCACAGCCTCCCCAGTGCCCTATAAAATTGTGGGAAGGATTGCTTACTCTGATATTGAAATCTCTTAGTAACTGTATTGCCGTTACCAATGCTCTATGCAATGATCTTAACAATTCTTTATATATGAATTTCAAAATATGAAAAAGTAGTGTAGAACTTTTCTTCCTAATTGACTGCTTTACCTTATCTACTAATTTTTTATGATTGACTTACAAGTGCACCAGGTTCTTTCTGAAAGTAAACATTTCCTAGTCTCTTACCAGTCAAAAAGTAATTGTTTTTATTTTTTCTTCAAAAGTAGATAACTTCACATCTCATGTTGACAATTTAAATTTAGATTGATAGAATGTATGATGTAGTGGAAGATAGTGATTTAAAACAATGTGCATTAAAAAGGGTGTTTTGCAAATTTTGAATGGAACCCATAAGTTTTTTTCCAAAATGTAATCAGCAGTTTAATTGACTGGTGATCTACCTGCTGAATACAGAAACTCAAATAACTTTGGAAAGCAGCCAAGCAAATCTTTTGGGAAGATAAGCAAAATTGTTTTTTTGCCACTTAACTACACATCTGAAAGGAATTTTTTAAATACTTCATTTCCTAAGTTATTTTAATGGAGCAGGGTTGAAAGCAATTTCCAGTTCACTATATATCACAGCAAATTCATTAAATTCACCTAGATGTTATGCAGTTTATGAATGCAAGGCACATGTTTAAAGACCAAGAATGTTAGCCTGAAGTGACATTCTGAGTTGTGGGTTGGACAGCTGGTTTGAGATGCAGAGTGATGCCAACAGCGTGGGTTCAATTCACGTACTGGCTGAAGCTCCCATGAAGACTTCTCCTTCTCAATCTCTCCCTTCACCTGGGGCATGCTGACCCTCAGATTTAACCACCACCAGTTGTTTCACTTTGTCTAATGCAAGAGAAACTCTATAGTCTGGTAAGACTGTGGTGATTTTAACTTTGTACTCTCTGTTAATAAGATTACTTTATTGCCAATGATATAGAGTTTGAAAAGAAAACATTTTAAAATCACTCTAAAACAATATTTGCAACTGCTTATACACTTTTTATTCAAATAAGTGTGTACCATGTTTTGTTGCTTTGCTTATCAACTCCCATTTTCTAATCAAATTTCCAAATATACACATTCTACTGTACAAATTGAATGTTCTTAACACTGTTGAACTATGTGTACCGAAAACAGTGAAATGTGAAACAGTGAAATGGTCGCATTTTACAAAGAATATTACAATGTCCAGTGTCTACTGTGCTTTGACTGATATGAATATATCAACATAAAACTAAGAGGATTAGGCCACTCAGCCCCTCAAACCTGGTCTGCCATTAAACAAAGTCTTGGCTGATCTGATAATCCAACATTCCCACTAATCCCTGATAACTTTTCACTCCCTTTCTTATCAAGGATCGATATCTGGCTCAAAAACCTTCACCTTTCGAGGAAGAGGGTTCCAAAAAGTCATGATCATTTGTGAGAAGAACATTCTCCTAATTTTTATCTTAAACGTATGATCACTTATTTTTAAACAGAGTCCCCTGGTTTTAGGTTCTCCCATGAGTCAACGTCCTACCCATATGCACTCTGTCAAGACACCTTATGTTTCAATCAAGTCCCCTCCAACCCTTCTGAATTCCCTAGGTGGGTACAAGCTTAAGCATAACCCATCCAATCCAGATAGTAATTTAGTAACCTTTCTGTGAACTGCCTCCAAAGTATTTAGATATTTCCTTAAATAAGGGGACCAATACTATTCCAAGTACTCCGGATATGATATCACCAATGCTTTGTGTAAATGAAGCATAACCTCCCAATTCTGTATTAGATTCCCCTCACAATAAACTGTAACAATCCATTAGCTTTCCTGATTATTTGCAGAACAGCATACTAACCTTTTACAATTTCTGCACTGGGACAGACAGGTCATTCTGCTTCTCAGAGCTCTGCAACTTCTTATCACTTTGATAATGAGCTTTTTTACTCTTTCTACTAAAATGGACAATTTCACATTTTCCCATATTAAACTCCATTTGCCAGACCTTTGCCCATTCACTTAAACTAACTGTGACTCTTAATGGTTTCCATACATTCTTTTCACAATTTACTTTCCTATAATTATTGTATCATCAGCAAATCTGGCGTTTGTCTCCTTCATCCAAGTCATTTATTTAATTTGCAATAAGTTGAGGTCCTAGCACTAAGGCCAAGCAGAAACTGGTTCATTTATGCCCACTGTCTGTTCTCTACTAGCTCTCAACCTTTTGTCCATGCCAATTTGTGACTCCCTACACCTTAACCTCTTTCTTTCTGCAATTACCTGTGGTATTGCATCTTATTATATGCCTTCCGGAAATCTTGATACTCTACATCTAATAGTTCCCCTTTCAAAGAACACAATTACACTGTATGATTACCTTTAACTTCTCTTAGTGCCTTGCTATAATGTAGTTAACAACAGCTTCTAACATCTTCACTGTGACAAATGTTAATTTAACTGAACTAGAGATAGTAGGAACTGCAGATGCTGGAGAATCTGAGACAACAAGGTGCAGAGGTGGATGAACACAGCAGGCCAAGCAGCATCATAGGAGCAGAAAGGCTGACGTTTTGGGCCTAGACCCTTCTGTTGTTTCCTCAAATCAGGGGAATTTTGGAAAATCAAAACCAATACATCAACTTTCACTCCTTTCAAGACCCTAGGATGAAGTCCCTCAGAGACCTGGGTCCTTATCAGCCTGCAGTTCCAATAATTTACTTGGCACATCTGCACTTTTTCTCCCTCTCTTCTGATTTCCTGATTTATAGCTATTTCTGGGATGTTACTTGTAACCACTACAGTGAAAACTAATACAAAATATTTGTTTGATTCATTTGCCATCTCCTTATTCCTGTAAGACCATAAGATATAGAGTCAGAATTAGGCCATTCAGCCCATCCAGTCTGCTCCGCAATTCAATTATGACTGTAATGTTTCTTAACCCCATTCTCCTGCCTAGTCCCCATAATCCTTGAATCCCTTACTAATCAGGAACCTATCTATCTCTGTTTTAAATACACTCAATGACTTTGCAACAATGAGTTTCACAGAGTCACCATCCTCTGGCTGAAGAAATTCCTCTTCATCTCAGTTCTAAAGGATCAACCCTTCACTCTGAGGCTATGTTCTCGGGTCCAAGTCTCTCCTACTAGTGGAAATATCTTCTCCAGTCCACATGCCCCTCAGTATTC